CGCGTTATCATTGAACCACTGGGTCGAAATCCAATGGTCTATATTTTGTTACCCTTACCAGTTCATGATATAGCACGATCTTTATCCAACGCCGTTGTTGAGTATAATAATACGATACATTCGCTTTATTCCGAACCATAATTATATTTACAATACAGAATTCTCAACATATATATTGCACCATTTTACCCATTGTACAACACTTTTCAAATGTATATTGACAATAATGCTGTTTAGGAATACATAATAAAGAATAACTTGATTACTGAAATGTTTGATGACTTCAGAGTCATGATATCTGTTCCTTATTGCAAAGTTGATTGGCGAGACTATGTCTAACATGATTTTCTTCACACAATGAACAAGTTAACTAAGGTATGATTAAAGTTTTGTATTCAGTTGTGCGTGGATAGAGTTTAATGTATTTGCTTCTTGTCTTCCTAGAAGATAGACATGGAGAGAGGTGCAGATGTAGAGAATGCTTGTCATTAGAGAAAATATTTTTAACCGTTTGTCTACAAGAGTTCAGATGTCTATCCACAACCACATTTATCAGCACTGTCAGTGGTGTACCACTTGCTCTACTAACGACCTTCGAAATGCTGCGCGATACAGCGTAGTCTTTTTTCTGGAGTCCAGGAAAGAATAGGAAGGAACAGTAATTAATTATGTGCAAAACACAGGAATTAATGAAACGTAAGAGTTAAGACTGAGTTACGCCAGAGTCTGAGTTTCCTTGTGTAAAAGATCAAGCGAAGGATTTTTCTGGAAATCAGTAAGATATGAGTGGACCGAGAAAGATCAGGGGAAAAACGTAAGTCAAGACGAATCACGCTTGGTGCATTCTCTACAATAAAGTCATCTATAAGTCGAGAGTCATAGGACTGAACCAATTTAAAAAGGTCTTGTTCACAGCTTAAGCTAAAACTAACCATCTGACATTTGAAAAGATTTAGTGTGAGGCCATTTTAGAAAGAAAATTGACTGATTTTGGTTAAGAAGTTATTAGATTGAGAACAATCTGTATAAGAGATGACTGGCATGGACACTGTTGGATTACTCTTGTACTTAACAAAATTAGCTCTAGCTGAGGTTGTTTGGACATGAAAAAGGGACGAGAAAAGAAAAGGAGAAATAACAGCACATCAGCTTCACTAAGTAGCGAAGTAGAGTGCTTCCCTATGTATAGCATGTACTGTCTTCTCTCAGAAAAATAGGAATCAGGTCAGTTTGAAATTCAAGTCTCAATGTGAGTTTTGGTAGGCTGGCTGGATAAAAAGGGTTCAGGGGCAGGATCAAAGACAGGAGTCTAATCTAGGGAGGCAGATCTAATATACTTAGCGCCTTTGTCAAGATAAGCAGTGATATTATGATACATTGAAACTGCAGTATCTAAGGTTTTGCTTCTGGGTTTGTAGACAAATTGATTTGGACCTCTGAAAGCCTCCAAAAGAGGTTCAGACACACGAAGCAGCAGTTTTCCCATTGTTTTTAGGAATGGTGAAGCTATTGCAATCGATCTGCATTTCATTTTTGCTCCTGAAGATATAGACTTAGGTACCGGGACTATATTAATTTCTTTCCAGGCAACTGGGACATCAATTTTGGCAAAGGACTCATTAAAAATGTTTGTGTGTGGATGACATAGAATATAAGCATATTCGCTAAATAGAATACCTGGCATGTTACATGGTCCGAAGCTTTGAGATGGCTTTACTAATTTTAGGCACTTGGACTTATCTGCTTCATTGAATTTAATAAAACTGCCTTTCATGTGTAAACAACTGGTTAAGACAACATTAGCAGGTTTCATTTATGTTTTATCTTTCCAGTAAGATCAATAAAATATCTCCATATATTAGTAGGATTTTTATATGACCTAATCTTCTGGTTATACACTTAATTTAAACGTTTTATTTCACACCTAATCAGGTGGTCAAGTCGTTTAACACCAGTATTATTCTTCGTTTTATACACTTTTTCTTTTTCGCTTCTCAATCTTTTTAATTGTGAAGAAGTAAGTCTATCAAACCTTAGAAAAATTATTTCAGTTAGGTAGCATATATCAATGCAAAATTTAAGATAGAACGTAGCAGCCTCGATTGTGTCATCCAGAGCATCGTTTTCAAATATTCTCCATTCTGTGTTTTATAACATGCTTCTGAGTTTATATATATAGTCTCATATGTAAGGCTCATATGTACAGTCTTCTAAGATTAGTATGCAAAAGTGTTCTTTTGCAGTTTGCCACACGTTTTTGACAGAACTCCTACAACACAGTGATCTGAGCTCAGCAGTGGTGCAAGTTTCTGAGTTTCATATATGCCAGGTTCATTAACGAAGATCAAGTTTAATTTGGCATCGAAAAGAGTTGAAAAATGAACAAGGAAACTCAAGAAGCTGCATTCATAAGACTTTAAAGCAATACAGGCTATAGACAATGAACCATATATTATGAAACTAGAAAATTCTATGAATTTGTCAGTGAATCTGGATAATTCAGAATAGCTGCAACCAGGAGTCAAGTAAATATTGGTGACGTAAATGAATTCATATTCATCTAAATGTTTAGGATGACACTTAGCAGTGATACAGTCTATATTGTCATTTGAATAGGTGAAACACATAATTTAATGAGCACCACTGAGTGTCGTTAAAGATAGCTAGACTTCCACCTCACTTTCCATAGAACTAAACAGATCCAGGCGAAAAATTTTGAAACCATTTGAAGGGACTGAGTTACGATAAACATTAGAAAATAGAGGGTATTTTCAATAGTCTATCTTACCCAGTAGGGATCTAAATTTCAAGTTGAATATTCCATGTAGTATCATTTGATGTAGTTTTGTTCACTTTGAAACACTCTGCAATCTAAAGTGATACCTTTTCTTTATTGTATTTTGCAAATTGATAACAGTAAGTTAATAAATCTTTAAAAGTTTGCATGAGTACTTGATACTATTTAAGGTCATATTTAGACAATTAAAACGGAGGAAACGTGATGCAAAATATATCATATAGAAGGGTTTGTCAGCCCAGAGTTTGAGCAAACTGCCTTTGTTTATCCTCATATCCGACTTAGTTGTGTCCAATGGTCACGAGTTTTCATTAGAACTTTGGAAATCACCTCTCGAAGCGAGTCACTAATAAGCACTAGAATTATTCAGTTTGGAGGTTTATGGGTATTTATATTATTGATTTCAGGTTAATATGAATCATGGACTGATATCAGTTTCAGATTGTCTCTTAGAACTAATAATTTTCATGCTGTTTTACCCCAAGTGTGGTCATTAGATCTAAATATATGAAATTGTGAAGTATTTCTATGTTGGATGCATACTTGTTGACGTATAGGTTCACAAGCACAACTTAAGTTAATGGTTTTCTTCTACCTGACATGAACAAATAGGTTTGATCGCCATAGTATGACCATCTAGTTATTTGAAGACTGATAGTGTTACACATAACCCATAACAGAGCTTTAACTCTAGAACGTTGTCCACTTAAGCCTAATAACTGTTAAGTAGTAGTGTAGAAAACGACAAGGCGGAGACGAAAGAAGGAATCTTTATTATTGACATCTTGTACAGTAGTCATCAAATATTAGTACACCTTGCACTAAGACAGTCATTTACATAATGTGCTTCATTTCCTCTTCTGCTTCTATCTTGATTTGCTCTTAATCTACCCACATTGTCTCTTCGGTTTCTCTGGCAGAATCTTTACCCATTGTTGGTAATTGCCTATGATTTCTGCTGCCCTCTCAACATATACTTCTTATATCCATTCTGATCAGCAACTTCCACTACAATAGTAGTTCTAAAGGAAAATATTCATCAAAAACGGTTTGTGAACTTGTCAACTTTTACTGTGGACAGGCACTTAAATAGCCCATATTGAATTGAAGTGATGAATAAATGGCAAGATTCTTTTTCTCGTAGGTTGAAATGTACGAGATACTCTCACTAGATATCAGTACTTACAACTGACTACACAATAATAATGAACACATAATGTTATATAGAATTGTGACAGCAACAATTGGAGTACTACACCAATTTGAGAAATCAAACATATGCATTAACTATACACGACTGAGAATAAAAGATTAACCGTCAGTAAAAGACAAAACCAGGCGAAAAACAAACATTTATAAAGCTAATTTACACATCTACTTTTGTAAATTCACTGATAAATGATCTATTAGATGAAATAAGCGTTTAGTACCATCAAACAGAATATTACTTCAATTTGTATTTAAATGTTGTAGATTACGAAACGTTATGTGAAGAGTGTTAGTAAGAACAATGAAATAAAGTGAATGAAAATGCAAGTAAACACTAACAGTAAAGTGTATATGATAATGGTGACTTTTTGAGGGAAATGCTAGAAACAGCCCACTGTGTTATGTTAACTAAACAATATCGTATGAAATAATGCTCTATCTCAGTGTTCATGTTTTTCTCTCGCATAAATCTTACCATGAATTGGTATGTGATTTGATTTTGAGTTGTGATTATTGAATATTTTAATGTTCACCTAGATATTATCGTTGTTGTGGTGACAGAGAGTTGTATACTAATCCCAGTAATTTTGTCCGACATTGAAATACTCGTTAGCTGAGACTTATGCTAACCTGTTATTTCCGGTTAACTGAGGTACGCCGATACTTCAATCGACGACGTTTTACTACTTTACTAACGATAAATTTATATTGTAAAAGTGTTATTTTATAAAATTGAGTTGTAGGCAGCCTGGCACTGTACCAGCTAATTATTATTAAGGTCTTCTTTGTATAAGACACATTACCATCCATTGTAAACTCTTATTTGGTTATGTAGATTCTTGTCATAATAACACTTTGAATATGTGTAGATAAATTTAATAAAAATATCTTTAGTAAAAGCTTGATTTCAGAGATACAGGCATTTCTTATTCATAACATATTCCATTGGTGAAGGTTGGATTTTTTAAAATTTTATCGCACTGTTCTTTTTCAGTATTGATACGATCGACCTGATATCAAAGCCACAGGTTAGTACTTTGATGAATTCTGGATCACTACCATTGAATGATAAATTCAATTTAAAATATGCGTCAACTAACCAAAGTCCTGCAACTAGTTGGAAGGGAATGCAATACAATACAGTCTCTGATGTTCGCAGCCCATTCAAAAATGCCCAGCGACCTCCACGACTAAGCGATTGGGTTGCTAAAAATACCAATTCACCAAAAATAGATTTGACACCAAGCACTGAAATAATTTCTCAAGATCCAACTGTTCCAGTAACTACATCGACCCAGTTTAGTGTTAGCTTTGAAAGTCCTTTGGAGGCTTGTCCACTTGGTACTAGACTCAGTCCTGTTGGAGTAGTTGTTGGTCATCTGAACAACATATCTCACCAGATTTAGCATCTCTTATGAGCAGTAGTACCAATTCTGTATCCGCTGGTGTATCCTTAAGTTCAGGACGTCAGCATGCTTTGAAATCCCTACTTCACAGGCAACCATCAGCTGGAACAGGATGCTCTGGTGGTACATTATCAACAGAAACCGGACCTGCTCAATCTGCTTCACAGTCCGTTCGATCAGCTCCTTTATGTGCTAGTCAAATGAGTAGGTCAAAGTGGATGAAACAAATGACAATAAGTAGAAATACAAATTCACAATACTTTACTCTACCGCCACCATCCTTGGTAATAAGTGATCCAGAGGAAGAAATGCATAATAAACGACTTCAACTGTAAGTCAGCCTTCTTTTCTTTTTTTTTTCCAAAAAGTTGTCTTTTTGTTTTCTTCCAATACTTAGTTTGACTGAAACGTTCAAAATACCTGATATAATTCCAATGGGTTGGTTATGATACTTGGTGCTTATTGAGTCTTGACAACAATACTAATTACAAAAAAAACGGTTTGTTTCTTCAATTTTGGATGCTAGAGACTCAGTGCCCTATGAGCACTGAGTCAGTCAGCCGATGTGAGTTAATGACCTCATCAACTTGCTTACCTAACATTTCATACTTGACTTTTGAATTACTACAGCGGTGGTTCTAGTGCAATGACAATGTTATGAAAGCTAAAGATACACTAGTGAAATCAGATGTTATTTTACAGCTATTTTGTTATACGGGTGATACTAAACTCGTTGTTACAATCCAACGCTATAGATAACGATACAATGCTCCGAGACGATACGATTAGTGATAGAACACTGACCTCTCAACTCGATATTCCGCTGACACCAGAAGAAGACGATGGGATTGAAAGTTTATTTACTCCAACAAAATAATAATAGGTGAAAACTCAGTCGTTTATATATCCTTAGGTAGCCTTGACTAGAGAAAACAAAATAGCACATTCAGTGTAAAATGGACCAATCAGCGTTTAGTATCCTAAACTGCGGTAAAAATAAGCAAAATAGCATGGCGCTTAACGGGCGCGAAAATAAGGCTTAAACTATAGAATGATAATATATAGATATCATAGGTTAGTTGTCTTAGGGATTAGTCATTCCTAACACTTGTGTTTAGAATTAAGTGAACAGAAAGGACTGAAACTAGTTTAAATGCCCGTTGGCATTCTTAAACTTGATGGAGTTTAGGCGCCTTATCGTTCTATTGATAGGCATCCTTCAATCAGAACTAAACGGAAAGTTTTACCTGCCAAAGTGCTTTAAGTGCTGCTATAAACCGTTCCCTATTTGGAGCCTTTAACTATCTTGGAATATTTATGCCGAATAGCGATATGGATTTGTTTAGTTTGATGTTCGAATTGCATTCCTTTACTTGCAGACTCCACGTACGATATTAAATTGTAGTGACAGTGACTGTCATAGCGTGTTAGATTCAAACCCTTAAACATTTAGCTACCATTATTGTTTGTACTCACAATCCTGAAATTCGGTAACCGATGTTTTTGTTGCAAACCTATAGCCTAAACTCTCCGGAACTTCGAACATAAGGGCTTGTATACTCTACAAGTGGACAGCTTAACTAATGTTTTCATCCAAGTGATTATGAAGGCCACTTTAATACCTGCTGAGATGGCTAATTATGTTTCTTTATTTAATGAAAAACTACCTTCTCAGCCGAAATTGGTCAGCTGATTGGTTATTTCAGCTTGCTTTTCGTGGGATCACGATGCGAACAATGTTAAGGTCACATGAAGGGAACTAGGCAACACATAGGAGTCGATTGAAGAGCTTGTGAAATTTAGTCGACTAAGATGGCTTGAACATGTACTGCGTATGCCGAGCCAGCTCCTGTTTCATCGTACCATACTAGGGGAAGTTAGATTAGGTTAGAAGACGGTTCAGGGTGGCGGACCAAAAGGTGCACCAGTTGATAGAAGTCTCTTACTGTTGATCTGAGTCATATCGGGTAATGTAGACGAGACGCAGATGTAGTTACTTCTTGATATCTTCTAAAGCTTGAATATTTCACCAACCATTATCTTCGAATGATATGGTTATATTATAAGCTGTTTTCAACCTGTCTGTTCTCCAGCTGATGGGAATTTAGGAAACAAGTCACCTAACCGCATGTAAGCTGTGTGGGTCATTGTGATAAATGAGCCTAGTGACTACTTATGTCAAACAGTTGAGATTAATTTTGCGTTAGATGTTGAGAGTCGGTCGATTGAAATCCCTGAATGGTCGAGGTTTCTTGCTTTTCTGGGCTTATTGACACTATCAGAAAGGTGTTTCTATAACCATGAGGAAACCGGTGTTCCCTAGCTGATCCGAACCCCTATCACTCAGGGGATATAGTCAGACAATTTATGACTAAAGTATTCTCATGACGATCGATTCCTTCAATTACTGGATTATCTCTCTACGAATTGATTACCAATGAGTAGCGGGTTGAGCTGTCTGCTCTTTATTGTTCAACACTGATATAAGTCTACCGATCAAGTTTAGCAGTTTGGCAAGTAAAGCTAAGTGATATGATACTATTTAGCTTATTCGATGATCAATTTCAACCCACTAGAATTTACACTAACTAATTTTAATAGTTTCAAATAGACTAATTCCATATCTAAACCATGTGTTTATTATTGTTCATTGACATACTTGTTATTCTCCGTTGTTTTGTTGGATGGAATTGTTCGACCTCTATTGGCATATAGGCTCCTATGCGGATACCTCGATATTGCCTGAATGTTAATTATGATATGGTTGTGGCTAGCAGAAGAATCGAGGATGCGCGTTTCGTTCTATTTGGGACTCTTCAGCCGGACGAACCTCCACCTCGGTGAGTGATGTTGTTCCCACTGAGACTCGAACCTCGTACGCATCGCTTCAAACGCCAAGGCGTTATCCACTATGACGAATCCCAAACAGGAAGAAACGCGCACCCTGGATTCTTCTGCTAGCCACAACCAACCAATTTATCATGTGTTTATTGCCTAAATATGTTTTAGTTATTTGGTACAAGAACTAAACATTAGTATAATCAGAGGATTAACGCCTACTTTTATGAATAGCTGAGACAACTCCATCAAAAAGAAACGTGTTTTTATTTTGATATGATAATAGAGAACAAATTGTTTTTAAAGTTTATGTTAAATAATGTTCTTTCATTCTGTTCTATGTTGAAATAAACAAAGTCAGCATAGGATTATGTATATTCTTGTACAGAGTCTGAATTCTGTTATTATTGTATTTACGGTTTGATAACTCTCTCATGCTTGTGTATTCCTTTTCATCTCTTCTTTCACCTTTACTCATAAGCAAAAGAAAAATAAAGGAGGGGAGATAGTTTTATGTCGAAGCCTCTGTCTAACCTACGCTTCAATTACTTCTTTTTTCACCATTTTAACAGCTCATGTTTATGGTAACACTTTGGCAGACTGAAACCTTTTATGAAATACAACAGCTGTTCACCTCACTACGTGTAGTCTGAACAATGATAGGTCTTTCATGGGTTATTTATTTACTCAATTATTTATTACAATTATAAAGTCTTCTTTGCTTATGAAAAGAAAGCAGCAGGTAAGGGGACTTATTAGGGTATTGTTTTCAAGAGTTCTGGTTAGCTTGAAGATTAGTCTTTCCTATCCACTAGTCGATAAAAGTCCTCTAGTTATATGTGTAGGTAAGCAATGGCTACCTATTTTGTTTTCATATAAAACTGATAAACAGAAGACTATTATGACTGAAACATAGTATCAAATTAAAGACTAACACGCTTGGTATAAAAAAAACAGTTAAATTTCAACATACTGAACTGGATTTACGTAATGGATATTTTGAGCTTCAGTTAAACCTTTTGTATAATGCGATTTACTTCATAGTATCAAGTTAAGCTGCTTTCAATAGACAGAAAACATTGAATTTTGAGTGATGATAACTGCATATGAGAAGCTCAGACAGGTGCTCTTCAAACTAGTCAGTAGTATATGTTAGTAATCATTAATTTCAAGCTGAAGATCTACACAGATGCATTATTTATCGACAAAAATAATAGAGAAATCTATCAATTTTTGATGGTGAAAATGCAGATCCAATTTTCGCTTAGGCCAAATAGAAATATGTGGGGAGACGTAGATACTGACTAATAGTATAATGGCCCCAGTTTCTATGCAACACGGAATAAATTTAGTCAAGAAATGCATCTGCGACATAGTCACCCTATTTCTACCTCACAGTATATACAAAACTTTAAGTCACTGGTTTTGGTTTCTGCATAGACACTAACAAAAAGACATATGGTTATTGAAGCGACTTGGAGTATTTTTTCATAGATTTCATGTACAGGTACAAGGTCTTTGTTTCACATATCTCAAAAGTCTTTCATTCTAAAGTTACACGAGACGGTGAAGCATGTCGTCAGTGTAATTGGGGCACTCGTAAAACCCCCACTGACAAAAGATGTTTCAGTGAAGAAACTGTTCTCATCGACCAGTCATTTCAGAAGCTGCATATCCATATTTATAGTTAAAGCAAAAACATACGTCCATCAACAGTTAATAAATCAACATCGGACGATCAAAAATTGTTTATAGGATTCAAAGGTCGACAAATAAATTCCCACAAACCTCAAAACTGAAGTATTCTAATGCTCACTGGTGACTAGCATCAAGAGGTGATTCCCGAAGTTTCAGTAGGAAGTCGTGACCGTTGGGACCAACCAAGTTGAACATGAGGACAGCTGCGGTAATGAATGGAGGTCACACTGTATCATGAACTGGCAGAAGAAGAAAATATGAACCGTTGGATTCCAACCCAGTGGCTCAATGGCAACGTGATGGCCGTTTGACTTAAAGGTCCTGCTTTCGTTCCCTGGTGGTGTCATGGGTGTGCTCTGCTGAGGAGTTCCACACTAGAACGAAAAAATTGTTCATTGCTCCAAGGATTCCAGTGCTTCTCCAGCTGATATCAGTCCATTATGAGTATCAACCTAAATTCAATATAAGGTGATTATAGGGTGATTGCACAATCATTTGTGAAGTGACAGAATAGGTAAGAAAAATGAGACAGTTCTATTGAAATCAAGAAACAAAGACTAAGAAAATGAGGATGATAATAAATATAAAGAAATAAGTAAATTAATAAAATATCTTAGGGAGATTACCTGGGTGGATTAAAGATTGGAAGCACCTTTTTCCAACAAAAAGATCAGGCTTAAACCTAACGAACTGCCTTAACTTCTGATGTGTTCAGGTGGCGAATCCATACCCCCTTTGAACTGTTTCATTTGCAGAAAGGATCTCGTGCAGCAGAGTGACCAGAGTAAACCAGAT